TTTTAAAACCATTAATTTACTTCTTATTTATTTCACAACTTCTACTATATTGTAGGTTTCTTCATTAGCTATGCGTGGCTTCAAACCGCGCTCAAATCGGAGCACTGTAGCCCAAGTTAGGACAATTTGAAGCAACACAAGAGAGTGTTGGTCACAGGCCCCGCGCGCTACCGGGCGCTCAAGCGCGCGCTATCGGGCGCTAAAGCCTCCATCTGGGCGCTTAAGCGCACGGAGGCAGGAAGCATCAGGTATTTCAGTGTAGATGGGCGCTTAAGCGCGCATCAGGGCGCTCAAGCGCGCTATTCTGGGCGCTCAAGCCCCATTGGGACGTTTTAGCGCGCAGAGACAGAAGCATCTTCTCCTACAGTGGCTAAGGGCGCTCAAGCGCGGACCAGGGCGCTCAAGCGCGCAACCCTGGGCGCTTAAGCCCCACCCTGGGCGCTAAAACACGAGGGGACGGTAAGCATCCCATCTTTCTGCAGCAAAGGGCGCTTAAGCGCGAGCCAGGGCGCTCCAGCGCGCAATCCTGGGCGCTTCAGCCCCCACTTGGGCGCTCCAGCGCGAGGAGGCAGAATGCATTGGCACTCGCAAGGGCAGCAGGGCGCTTGGGCGCGCTCCTGGGCGCTTAAGCGCGCTGCCAGGGAATTCCAATTCCCACTTTCTTCAAGTCCAAGTCTAGGGGAAGATGCATCCCCATTCCAAACCCCAATTGTCCATGCCCCCAAAACTAAATCCTAGCACTCCTCCAACCTCTCCTCATGAGATCTAGCTAGAATTTGGGCAGCATAACCTTTGTTTTCTCATCGTTTCCCAATTTAAACAAAGGGTACCTAATTGATTTTCAGCCCAACCAATTCAATAACTCAATACATAACAAGCATGCATATATTGAATTTCAAGTAGGCATCATTTACATTACATATCCTTTACAAATCATGGAACTTAGCTTACAAAACACTATGATCATTCCCATGGCTCCCATCAACAAAAGAGATGACCAAAGGCATGAGCATAGGCTAAGTCCATTCCAATATACAGATCATAAATCTAGCATTGCCTATTCATTACAATTATATACATGTGAGCTACAAAACAACATGTATAATCTCAAAAGAAATGCCATATTTCATGCATAATCCAGATATGGCCACTTGCCACCAGAGGCTCCTGCAGCATCCTTACCTGAAAGGGGGTCCCCACAACACGGGGTGAGATATACGAATATATCCAGTAAACCAGGGGTCCTTGGAGCATCTCTCCACCCCACAGTTCCATACCAGTGTAATAGCAATAACAATAATAATGCAGTAAATACATATCTATGCAAAGTGCAATACATCTCCAGGAGAAATCCCTCGAGCTCTCAAGCTGTCCTAAGGAAACTCAGATGCAAATAGTCCTACTGGCCAGCTAACTACCAAGTATGATTTATGCATCGTTATGCAACATACCACATAGGGAAACACCATCCTATGCCACACCAAATGCATACGTATAACAAAGCATTACGCTATTTCATTGCATTTATATACACTATAATCACCACTACCCTTTCAGGGCTTGGTGGAACAATCAAGGAAATTACACCCAAGGTCCGAAGGCTTACCTCAAAGCTTCCGTTCAACCTTTGTTCACCACCAACGGTCCAGTAACCAATCAACTTTGGTTTCAACAATAACTTACAAGTAACACACCTACACCAAGGTGCCATAGCATCAATCATACTATACAAGGGTAATGCAATTAACATATTGCATTCAAGGATAACTCATCATCATCAATCCAAGCTATCCTATTCATACCACAACACAAGGATGAACTTACCTATTTCAAGGACTAATCCATCTCCATTGCTTGCTCCAAAGGTTGGTCAATTAAGATTGATCCAATTGCCTCAATCCTAGACAACACAAGGATACAATCAACGACCAACCAAACAATGGTTCAACAATGCAAGAAAACTCTTAACCAAGTGTCATATTCTTGCAATTTTCCAAATATAAGCATTTAGCCAACTAAGCTCATTTTCACCGATTAAATGACATTCCTAGCATTTTCCATAACATGCTCTAAGCTCCATTCTTCCTAGAACATAGCTAATTTAACAACATTTCATCAAAATCCCTAAAACACTATTCATAAACCCTAACTCATGCAAATTTCAAGGAATCATGAGGTTCAAGGGTTAGAATCTTACCACCAATGGTCACACAACCAAGGATTGATGGCTCCTCAAGCATCAATGGAGGTAGAAACTCTCAAAACCCCAATTTTCACCAAAGGGCCGAATTTTTGAGAGCCAATATCTCACCACACAAAGCTCCCCACTAAGAACTAAGCAAGGATTATGAAAGAGGGCGAGATTCTAAGCGATTTAGGCTTTTGGATCACCCAAAACCATTAAGGTTTCCTCCCTCCTCTCTCTCTTCTTCTCTCTCCCTTTCTCCTCCTTCTCCTTCTTCTTCCTTTCTTCTCTGTTTCTGTCGACGGGAAAGTGGGGGGTTTGGGGCTCATTTTGGCTTTTAGTCACTTAACATAGGTTAAGTGGCTTTAAGCGGGTATTGGTTCGTCTATCTATTCAACTCCAATAATTACCAAACTTTACCCAAAAGTCTGGAATATTATTCTAGGAATATTACTATTTTTATTTTTATATTTTGGGTACTTTTGCCAGTACCCATTTATACCCCTTAATTTTCACTGAGTACACTTTTTAACTCCAAAGTGACTCAGATTCATTTCATTAAGCCTTATACTTAACTTTACTCAGTAAAACATGGTTAATTAATTAATTACACTAGATTTACTAATTAATTAAGTTGGGCTATTATAGCGATGGCTCAGCACTATCAGCTATTGTACCTGAAATGTAAGTCCTCAAATGGGGTGAGATCAACAATCTCAATAAACTAGGGGTCCTTGGAGGGCTCCTCCACCCCAAAGTTCACTTCAGGAATAATCAGAGTATAAAATCATGTATGCATCAGAATATGTATATCGATGCATGTGTGCAATAATGAATCCTACTGGCCAGAGAATACAACATGTATACATTATGCAACGTAACTCATCTTGCAACATACCCGTACAAGGTAACTCATCTTGTTCTACGCACACAAGGTAACTCATCTTGTGTAGCACACAAACATACATACATATACATGCATTATATAACAGTTCATATTCACATACCATATAAAAGTACCATCTTCCCTCGGAGTCTGGTGGAACAAATAGAGGATTAACCCTAAGGACAAAAAGCTTACCTATGAAGCAACGTCCTCTATTAGAGTCCTCGTATCCAAGGGATCACAGTCTCACCCAATATCACTACCTATTTCAAAGGTGTGAAGATAATTAGTATATAAACTAATCTAACACATTCAACTCAACATTATCTTTTGTTTATTTGTTTAATCTGTGTCTTAACTCATTTCACAAGGACTCCTATTAATTTCTTAAGGTTTCCCTATCTTAAGAAACATCCCATAATTCCTCTCAAGTGGTTCAAGTTCCCTTTTGTCAAGGGAAATCATTTTCAAAAAACTTTGTGGTGGGTAATCGATTACCACACTAGGTAATCGATTACTTGTTCATTGGTAATGGATTACCACGCGACAGAATGCAATAAAAGTCAGCTACTCATGGTGTTAATGGTGTTCCAAGCCTTTCCAAGCGCATTATTCATCAAAACATAACTCTTCCAATAACTTATCATGCGTTCTAACTCATGGGTATATACTTTAATCTTCTACATACCAAAATCCCAATTTATACAACCCTAAATCATGGTATTTCTCCAAAAACCCAAGAGGGGAGTTGGGTACTTACCTTGGGAGCCTCAATCCACTAAATGGAAGACAAATCAAGCTTCCTAGCCAAAAAATACTCCTCCTTAAGCCCAAGTCCGAAAATGGCAGCCATGTGGTCTTTCTTTCTTTCCTTCAAACCCAATTACCAAGTGGAAAGGGAAGGAGGTGAAGATTGTGGTTGATCTCTTTTGTTTCTGGAAGAGTGGATTGAAATAAATTGGAGAGGAGAAGAAAGCTCTCCTTCATTTGAGAGACAGAGACCGCCGTGGGAAGAAGAGAAAAATAAGATGGTTGAAAGTTTTTTAAATAAGTTGTACTAACCAAGTTGGTCTACACTTATTTATCCCGCTTACTTAACTCTCTTTTAAACTTGACACAATGACTTGGAATGTTTACACAATGACTTGGAATGTTTACAGGGTAATATTCAGAATTTTGCTTTCAACTTTCGAGTAACTTTGCCTACCGCATTTTTACCCCTTGCTATCATTTTTAACTTGTTTACACAAGGTGACTTTTTTTTTTTTTTGGTAAACTACACAAGGTGACTTTAATCCATCTAATTCGTAAATTTATAAGAAATAGGCTAGGGTCATTATATAATATCATGTAATAGGTCAGATTAAATTACGCTTTTTGTAAAGTTAAAAATAAATTACAAAATTGGGAAGGTTGTTTGCTTTTTAACTTACCTTGATTGGATTATTTGTTCGTAACAGCCTCTTGATTCGTCAAAATACCTGAATTTTTTCCTGTGTCCTACAATTATACTGTTGTCACCAATGAAATAACCTACCTCAACAACTTAAGTGAAGTATTATATAAAAGTTTGTTTATTTATAATGTATTTAAGTAAAATACATGATCGATTATTACTGGAATTATAATAACTAATAATAAATGATAAACATAAAGGAAATTGAATTGAAAGTGTCACTACATATTTTTCATATAGATCCATCTTTATAACTGAATTTATGTTATGACTCTTCGATGTTAACACCACCTCATCATGTCATTAAGTAATGTTTACTTCAGATATTAATGACATACATAGTGGATTTTTTGAATCTGTCCATTCATATTCATGTTCATTCATAGAGAAATCCCTTAACTTTCTTCTATGTGTTGTTCATTTTATCAATTCCCATAGATTGATTTTTTTTCTTTCAACGTTCGTCAGCTTCAATGGGTAGCAGTTCAGAAGAATCAGACATCAGCGAGTGTGAGATGGATGACTTCATAGAGAAGTCATATAATCAACTCAAAGCAGGGAAATACAAGAAGATCAAGAATCCAAATTCCACTTTCAGATGCCCTTTTTGTGAAGGCAAAAAAAAGCGGTCATTTCAGTTTGGAGAACTTCTTCTACATGCCTCAGGAATAGGCATAGGCTCATCCAAAAGAAGCATACAAATAAAGGCAAAGCACCTTGCCTTGGCAAAATACTTGAAGGAAGACATCAGCAATGAATTTGATGACTCACTTTCTAAGCCCGTGTTGGAAATAGCCAATGAGCAACCCAAACAAGATCAAATGTTTGTTTGGCCTTGGAAAGGGATTGTGGCCAACATATTAGGGAAGTCAAACCATGAATCTGAAAACAATGATAGTGAGCTTTGGCTAAAAAGGTTTGAACAATATAAACCCAAAGAAGCTCATGTGTTGCATTGTGCTGATGATCCTAGAGGATATGTTATACTAGATTTCGGTACAGAATGGATTGGATTCAGGCAAGTGATGAAATTGGATACAGATTTTCTAACTGCTAATCATGGTAAAAAGGACTGGGATTCAAGGGAAGAGAGTCATGGTTCAGACTTTTATGCATGGTGCGCACGAGCAGAGGACTACAATTCGGAAGGGCTGGTTGGGACTTATCTTCGGGAGAAAACAGAGCTGAAAACAACTTCTAAGGTAACACAGGATTCATGGAAGGAACGAAGTCAAACTGTGGCACATTTGGTTGAGGAAATAGACTTTTCAAATAAAATTATTGGTGAAGTTGAAAAGAAGTACACAGAGACAAGCATATCATTGAATAGAATTATGGAAGAAAGGGACTTGCTTAACAAAGCTCGAGTTCAAGGTTTGTGATCCTGGCAACTTATCACAATATAGCATTTGAATACAAATTGAATAGAAGTTGGATTGCTCAATATTAGTAAATATGCTTCTTGATTAAATAAATATTTAGTATATATTTTCTTGCTTTGAATTTGTTGCTTTGGCATGGTTTTGTTTGTATATACTTTTCCCAGAGATGGCGAGGATGCAGCAGCATGCTCGTGAACATGTTCTTAGAGTCATAGAAGAGACCGAAAAACTGAAATGTGAAATACATACAAAGAATGTTGAACTTGATCGCTGGTGTCAACAACTTAGTGAACAAGAAACCTCAACTGTACATGAAAGAAGAAAATTTGAGGAAGAAAAGAAAAGGGTAAATCTTGTTAATTAAACTTATCTATAAATGACAATTTGTTAAGCACAGTATCCAGTCTAATATCAACTATTCAACTTTGAATTTGCAGAAAATGGAATCAATAATTTTAGCATCAGAGGAGCAGGTGAAGGCCAACCATGATTTTTTCGGGTTGCTTGAAAAACATCAGGTGTGTCATACAATGTTCTTAAGGACAGTATCCAGTCTATTATCTTCTTGTTGGAAAGTTGTCTTTTAGGTTTTTTTTTCCACCCTTTATGTGCGTATCAATTATTATTTTGCAGATAGAGAAAAAGGCTCAAATGAATAAACTATTGAAGCTTGAGAAAGAGTTAGACGATGAACATAAGTTGAAGTTAGAGATTGCTGAACTAGAAGGGCAACTGAAGGTTTTAAGGTGTATGAATGTGATGGGAGCAGATCCTGAAAAGGATAGAAAGAAACAAATAGAAAAAATGGAAAAAAAACTGGAGGAGATGATTGAGGATATGTCTGAAAAAGAATATTTAAGTCAAGTTCTCATGCTGAAAGAACAACCAGTTAAAAGGGAGCTAGAAGATGCTCGACAAGAACTTATTGCAGTAATATTTTATTTCCTTGATATTCTTGCAGTAAATATCTTGTTAATGAATTGTGATCATATTTGACTATAGATATAGTTGTTACTTGTTAGTTCTGATTTCTCTGACAATTGATTTCTTCCTCACAATAACTAATCATAGGCCTTTGTTTTACATTTCAGGAATTACCAAAGCTCTTGAAAGGGTCAACTGTTATTGGAGTCAAGAAACTTGGGGAGATCAATGCTAAACCATTTCAAAAGGTGTGTAAATATAGATATAAAGATTGTCATACAGCATTATCTGAGTCTGCCAAACTACACTCGAAGTGGCAAAGCGAAATTCTGGACTCAACATGGCACCCTTTCAGGATTATTGATGTTGAAGGGGAGGGAAAGCAGGTATATCTTTATAACTGCTCGTCCATCTCTGTTTTCTCCCTACACTTAGAAAGAGCTTTACATTTTGGTATAAAAAAGCTGTGATCTTGGAAGAGTTTGTTCAAATATGTTGTTGAAATATCCTTTTTTTCAGACTTAAGACTCCTTTTTCAGGAACTCATAATTATGGATAAATTTCAGTATACCTCAAAATTAAAAGTTTGTCACAACAATACAGAGATAATCATCATGCAATTATATGTAATCTGAAATTGATTCAATACAGACAATTGAATGACAACTTTTATGTTTGCTGAGCATCTACATCACAACTACTTCCAGGCCTGTTGTTTGTCTACATATAAAGCTGACAGATGAACTCAAGATAATTTAATGTAATGTTTACGCAATTTGATGTCTCTTTATATAGGAGGTAATTGATGAAGATGACCAGAAATTGTCAACTTTAAAGGAAGACTTGGGAGAGGAGGCATATATGGCTGTGTTGACAGCTTTGAAGGAGTTGAATGAATATAATAGTTCAAGCTGTGCCAAGACCACTCCCAATCAGAGTGGGAGATCTGTGATACCTGAGCTTTGGAACTTCAGAAGTGGACGTAAAGCCACCTTAGATGAAGTTATTGCTTACATAAAGGGTAGGATTAACAAAATCGGGTGATGGTGACCAGCAAGTCCAAGAGCTAATGTTATATTTCAATTGGGTGTTCATAGGGCGTTTGAAAGATATAATCTTGTGATGTTTGCTATATTATATACTACTTTGCTTGAATGTGTTAAGTTAAAAACAAGATAACTGCTTTTGTGATTTTTGTTGAACTCCAATTACCTTATGACTTCAATTTATTCTCTATACATGTGTGGATTATGCAAGGGTAAGGCTGTGTACAAAGATTTTTCTCCACCCCACACTCGCTAGTCGGATTTAACGGGGAGTGGTTTTTTTTTTTGGTTTTTTACATGTGTGGATTGCATATAAATACAAAAAGACAAAACCATGACCATATGCAATGGCCATTCTCTTTGCTCTGACTCTTTTATATACACTTGAAAGTTGTTGAAATGATTTTACTGCCTGCCCCAAAGGAACAAGTACCAAGTTTTATCTCTTACTGGTCTTTTGCGGCCTTCATTTTATACCCTCTTGTTGCTGAATTTTTTTTAAAGATTCACTCAGACTCAGGTTTTCTTCTAACAGTTTCAGACAGAACACAAGTTGTCAACCCATGCCTTGAGACATAGTTGAGATGCTTTATAGGTTATAGCTTGAATGTTAGTTAGTACAACGCTAATGTTCCACTAAAATGTCTCCTTTTGAGGCCTTATATGAAAGATGTAACGCCCCGACCGCTTCAAGAATCAATGACTATCCCCACATACTAACACGAGACTTTTCAGTGTGTTTTTTCCTCACTCGCACACTTCCCGGGAAAACTTCCAAGGAGGTCACTCATCCCAAAATTGCTCCAAGTCAAGCACGCTTAACTGTGGAGTTCTTCCGATCCGGGCTACCAAAAAGCAAATGCATCTTGTTAGCATAGGTAGTACCAATTAATTCTTATAAGTTATCCCAAACTGTGCAGTCTTATACCTGCACAGCCTTTGGAATCCCTCTTTTTTGGGTGTCGATTCGATTCATTCATGCATGTAACCCCCCGCTGGAAGCCTGTCAGGAGTTGTTCCTTGTCCGTGCCTCTTTGCACCGGCGATCACTCCCCGCCCTCGTCAGCGCTCGGGATGTTACATGACCACCAGCTTCTGCCTGGTTCGTCCTCGAACCACACCGTACTGGAAAAGAGGCCCTGCTCTGATACCACTTGTAACGCCCGACCGCTTCAAGAATCAATGACTATTCCCACATACTAACACGAGACTTTTCAGTGTGCTTTTTCCTCACTCGCAAACTTCCCGGGAAAACTTTCCAGGAGGTCACCCATCCCAGAATTGCTCCAAGTCAAGCACGTGGAGTTCTTCCGATCCGGGCTACCGAAAAGTAGAAGCATCTTGTTAGCATAGGTAGTACCAATTAATTCTTATAAGCTATCCCAAACTGTGCAGTCTTATACCTGCACAGCCTTTGGAATCCCTCTTTTTCGGGTGTCGATTCGATTCATTCATGTATGTAACCCCCTGCTGGAAGCCTGTCAGGAGCCGCTCCTTGTCCGTGCCTCTTTGCACCGGCGATCACTCCCCGCCCTTGTCAGCGCTCGGGATGTTACAAAAGATGCCCGTCAATACTACTCCAGTGTATAGGAGATTTATTATAATAACCCAAACTTAAGTATTTAATTGATTAATTTTAATTAAATAATTCAGCATGCTTTAGTGAGTAAAATTAAGTATAAGGCTTAATTAAATGAATCTGAGTCACTTTGGAGTTAAAAAGTGTACTCAGTGAAAATTAAGGGGTATAAATGGGTGTAGGCAAAAGTACCCAAAATATAAAAATAAAATTAGAAACATTCCTAGAAAATTATTCCAGACTTTTGGGTAAAGTTTAGTAATTAATGGAGTCGAATAGATAGATGAACCAATACCCGCATTATTCCACTTAACATGTGTTAAGTGATAAAACAATACAAAAAGAACCCCATTCCCACCCAACCCGTCGAGCAACAGAAAGGAGAAGAAAGAAGAAGAAGAAGAAAGGGAGGGAGAAGAAGAAGAAAGGGAGGGAGAAGAAGAGAGAGAGGAGGGAGCTATTCTCAACCAAATTTGAAGATTCAAAAGCCTAAATCACTTAGAATCTCGCCCTCATCCTTAATCCAAGCTTGGTTCTTAGTGGGGAGTGTTGTGTTGTGAGATTTTTCCTCTCAAAGTTCCGCCCCTTTGTGAGAGTTTGGGGTTTTGGGAGCTTCAACCTCCATTGGAGCTTGAGGAGCCATCAATCCTTGGTTGTGTGACCATTGGTGGTAAGATTCTAACCCTTGAACCTTGTTTTCTTGGAAAATTTCATGGTTAGGGTTTAATGAATAATGTTTTAGGATTTTTATGAAATGTTGAGTAGATTGGCTATCTTCAAGGAAGAATGAGGCTTAGAGTATGTTGTGAAAAATGCTAGGAATGACATTTAATCGGTAGAAATGAGTTTATAGTGTTATTTTAGTATGCTTTGAGTATGGAGAAATCTAGGCTTGGAACTATGGATTTCCTTGCACTGTTAGCATTGTTTGATTGTATTCCTTGTGTTGATAGGATTGAGGCAAGAGGACCAAGTGGAGTGACCAACTCTTGGGGTTGTGTGCAATTGAGGAAAGCTCAAGAGCAAGGTAAACCTTTGGACCTTGGGGTTGATCCTATTGAGTGTTCCACCATACTCCATTGAGGAGAAATGGTTTATGAGATGTGATATGTAATTATGATAGTAATTGTATGCTCATGCATTGATACATGTTATGATTGATTGATGATTAATGGTTGATGTTTGATTGTTTAAGAGTAATTGAGGAATGGTTATAGAAGTAACAATAATGAGTGAGGTAATGGTTGAGGATTGTGATTGAGGTTCTGAGTGATAGTATTATGATGAGGATGATTGGTAGAAACTTCCCTTGGAAACAGCCCTATGTGGATCTCCATGTGGTTAGAGCCTAAGAGGAACAGCCCTATGTGGATCCCTCTTGGAGGTTCCTAGATTGAGGAATTGACTTCCCATGGAAACAGCCCTAGGTGGATCTCCATGTGGTAAGAGCCTAAGAGAAACAACCCTTTGAGGATCTCTCTTGGAATAGATTGAGGAAAGGACTTCCCTTGGAAACAGCCCTATGTGGATCTCCATGTGGTAAGAGCCTAAGAGAAACAGCCATTAGTGGATCTCTCTTGGAAGTCCATGTTATGCTTGTGGATAAGAGTCCATGTTATGCTTGTGGATAAGAATGTGTTAAGCTATTATGATTATGTGTACATCAAAAGTGAACCTTAGGGTGGAGTGATCTCCAAGGACCTCTGGTTTACTGGGATATATTCGTATATCTCACCTCGTGTTGTGGGGCATCATTTCAGGTACTGATAGAGGTGAGGTTGATCGAGGCAAGAAGCATGAGTAAACTGTACCTGATAGCTGGACATGTTGAGTTGCATGCCATTTAGCATTGCTATATGTATATTTTTTTATGCCACATGATGTATTTTGGAGGACTTAGTGCATGATCATTGTAGTAGTAATGGGTATCTGATACATGGTTACTTGCTTTGATCATGTTCCTTTTGTAGCTAAGTCCTTTGGCATGTATATGAGATTTGTAATTAAGACATGATGTAATATTGTAAGTAATGAAGATATTTGTGTATGATGCTTACTGTAAGTTAAATGCATGAATGTATTTTTATGTATTGGATATGTTGAGCTGGAAAGTCAATTAGGTACCTTGTGCTAAGTTGGGAAATGTTGAGAAAACAAAGGGAATGCTGCCCAATTTTAGTTTAATTCATGTACAAATAAAGGTATCTTGTCCGGTTGACAAATATTCATACCTGTATGTTAGAATTGAACCTTGGAGTCTCTATGGAAGTTGTAGACATTTCTCTTAGCTTTCCATAGAGACCAAAATGGTGTAATTTGAGTGAGTATAGCTCAAGTTATGAGTGGAAAACCATAGGTAGGTTAAATGACTTTGTTTTGGGTCACCCAACCCTGTGGATGGCGCCTGGGGCGCCAGATTCACGCTTGGGGCGCCAAATTATAGAACCAGACAGTAGCATCCACGCTGAGGGCTCCACTCCCACGCTGGGGGCGCTAACTTTCTGTTTTCCCACGCTCTGGGCGTGGATCCCACGCTACGGGCACGGGGTTCTGGAGATTTTGCACCCATTTCTTAGAAAATGCATAACTTTGGCTACGGTACTCCGATTTGAGCGCGGTTTGAACCTACGCGTAGCTAATGAAAAATACTATAACATAGTAGAAGATGGGAATCATAAAAGAAGTGTAGAATTAATTTGATAATTAAAGAGATGAAGACATTCAACGACGTATTGTCTAATATACGGGGAATATAATATTAAGTTTAGTCTCATTATTCCGCAAAGCATATGTGGTTATGATCACACACTTGGTTATATTAAATTCGGCATGATTTAAAAGGAAAACTTAATCCGAAATTTAATTGAACCATGTGATTGTAACTGCGCTTAATGTCGTACGCAATGATAACAATCCGGTTCTAGAACGGGGTGTTACATTTATCCATAAAAGTTAATCAGTTGATGACTAACAAAAGTGCAGTGTTAGATGAACTTAAATCTAGTTTGGCACTGACTTGGAACAATACGAAGTAGTATGTAGATAAGTAATATGTGTGCATGTGTTGAGAAGGAAATGATGCATGTGTGTATGTGTGTATGTGTGCTAGGGTGTTTGCTGGTGTGTATGTGTGTATGGGTGTTTGCTAGGGTGTTAAGAAGGAAATGATGCATGTGTGTATGTGTGCTAGGGTGTTAGCTGGATCCATTATTGTTGTGTTTCTAGTATGTATATATCTTGCAAGTAGGCTGGAGTAAAATTTAAAATGTGGTTCTGTTGAGATTTGCTGGTGTAATGAATTGTTGTTCATGCAATGTATGTAGCATGACTTATGTATTTGAAGTTATGTTTATTGGCACAAAATTTTGTGTAAACTCGATGGAGATAAAAAAAAAGGAATGGAAACAATATATAAAGAC